CCACCATTTTGTTTGCATGTCCACCTCCCTGTCACCTAAACGTCCGTCCACCTCCAGTGGATGTATGGTCAGTGGGCTGCATAGTGGCCGAGATGATCAGGGGAAGCGTGTTGTTCCCCGGCACTGATCGTATCCTTCCCCGTCATTGAATGATCACTGTGTCATCACTTCATTCTGTGTGAAGAGATCCAACACCATGCTGAGAGTTTCCCTCTGTCACTTTGCTATTCATTGTCAAATTTTACACCTGACAAACATGACCTCCTCCATTGCTCTCCTGCACCCCCCTGTTGTAAGAAATCAGACAATAAAGTGCTGTAGTTGCTAAGAGAGTATGCACAGTAGTTATGTATTAGCTGCATAGGAAAAAGGAGTAAGTGGCAGCATAACTACAGATCATGTGATGCAGAGTATGTGTGTGTGTGTAGACTACGTAGGTAGAGCTGTTGGTGTGTCTAGCTCGAAGAAAGTTAAATGTCACGTTGCCCTAATGGTGTGTTACAGTGTGTGTGTGTTTGTGTGGCCTGTTCCCTTAACATTTACACTTCAGACATTGACCAGTGGAACAAGGTCATTGAGCAGCTAGGCACTCCATCTCAGGACTTTCTAATGAAGCTGAACCAGTCAGTAAGAACGTACGTAGAAAACAGGCCACGCTATGCTGGATACAGTTTTGAGAAACTCTTCCCAGACGTGCTCTTCCCTGCGGACTCCGACCACAACAAACTGAAAGGTAGTATCTTTTTTTTGTGCGTTATCATATTATCACCATAAATCATAAAGAACTCCATTTGTGGACAGCATCTTATCTATTTGTTGTTTCTCCCCTTCAGCGAGCCAAGCTAGAGATCTCTTATCTAAGATGTTAGTGATTGATGCCTCCAAGCGCATCTCGGTAGATGAGGCCCTGCAGCACCCCTACATTAATGTTTGGTACGACCCGGCTGAAGTGGAAGCGGTAAGTGGATCGCCGATGAGACCGCATGATCCTTAAATGGGTTACATGAGATTTTAATTACATCACTACAAGTGGAAAGTTGGCGTCGCTCTCGAACCACCAATGTGCCGTTTAAGCCATTTTCTCTTTCTCAGCCCCCTCCGAAAGTCCTGGACAAACAGCTGGATGAGAGGGAGCATACCGTGGAGGAGTGGAAAGGTTAGACAGCATATTAAGATTCTTAACACTACACTGAACACTTCACTTTTCACATTCAGTTTCGGTGTATTATTTACCCTCTGGCTCCCGGTGCAGCACAGGATTAACCACAGTGCTAAGATCTACTTCATTCAGTAGTGGTAGAAGTGAATAGTCTGATAAAATACTTAGTTTTACCATTTCAAAACACTACGAGGTATAGGTTAAGAAGTACGCGTAGATAGCTGAATTTTGGTTCTAATCTATCTTTTATGTTAATATGCAACTACTAGTCACTATTAAAGCTATCCACTAGTTAATACATTCAATTTTGAGCAAATCAGATGTGTTTGCAATGAAATAGAACTAGCCAGTTGGTCAGATCTATGATTAGCAGTTCATGAGTGGTGACATGTTTATTTCTATTCATGGAAAGCGCAGAAATAAACTATGTCTACATAAATCCAGTGGGACTGCCAGTGAATGTGTAGACATGCAGTCATTTGGTCACAGACATTGTTGCCCAAGGAGGTCTGTGTCTCCACTAGCGTTGCCAGAGGGTGCATTGCGTGACTTGAAATCCCCTTTTAAAGCCTCTCGGTTAGTGTTTTCCACTGTGGGGGAACCTGATTCTGTGGAGCATGCAAGGGTTTAAGATTGTGAGTAAATATCACTTTCAGTTGTGCAGCAGGATGAGCTCATCCTTAACCCCCTGCCAGGTGATAACGACCCCTCACTCATTTTTTAGAAGGGTCACACCGGCACAGCCTGTCCAAATTAGAAACATGATGCTGTTTGGACTGTACAGTATGCAATACGCTCTGACTGTATACAGAACGTGTATCACATACTGTGATACATGCATCAGGGATTCCTCTCCGTCTTACCTACCCCAGTTAACCTTCTCCTGTTCATTTAATTTGCAGTGCTAATTTATAAGGAAGTGAGCGAATGGGAGGAGTGGACAAAAAATGGAGTGATAAGAGGCCAGCCACCTCCTTTAGGTGAGTAATCATTATAACTTTTGGAGATAAGAAGAGTTGGAAAGGATGAATTATAGTGAATCACTGCTATTTCTGTTTGTTAGAGGCACATGATATTTATCAGAGGATTGATGTAGGCTGTAAGTGTTTGGTGTTTTTACCTAAACATCTTAGTTACATATGACCATTGTTTCAACAGCATTTCAATATTCAGTGTGAAGTATATCGGTGTATTAGGGCCATAATCAGATTTCAAGATTAAAGTTGTAATATTTCCTGAATAAAAGGAATATTTAAAGTTTATAATTGAAATGTTTTAAGAATAAAGTCAGATTTTGAGAATTATGTTTTAAATGTATTGCCTGTTGAGTCATAATGCCAAGCAAGCAGAAACACTGCTGGTCTATGTACACAGACCAGCAGCTGTGTACTGGTTATATGATGGTGACAACACAAAACACACCCAAAAAATTTACTTTATTCTCACAATATAACTTCTTTGTAATATTGGGACTTTTTCTCAAATTATTACACCTTTTTTTCTTCAATGTTTTTATTCTCAGAATCTATTTTCTTTCCCAACTCTGTAGCATTGCAGCAGCCCCTAACTGCACACAAAGTGTAGCTGAAATGGTTAAATAACTGTGGTTTAGTTTTGACTTTGAGGCATTGTTTACCCGTGCGTATTTGGCTCATGAGATAATGCCAGTATCGTGTGTATTTCAATGAAACCTATTCGTTGACGTGTGTTTTTCGCAGCACAGGTGCAGCAGTGATCGACAGCCCCCCTCAGCCCACATCGTCCTCCTCCTCTTCGGCCAACGATGTCTCGTCCATGTCCACAGAGCCCACTGACCCAAGCAGTGACCCCACCATGACCTCTGAAACAGACAGCAGCTTGGACAGCCACACCTCTCTAGGTGCGCTGGCCTGCTGCAGATAACGCACACATACTATACAACACACATGCACACACCAACACACAAACACAAACCTTTTCCTCATCAGAGCGTGTGATGGGAGAGGGTTTAGGCCAATGGAACTTCTCATGTTAGTTTGTAGAACTGCGCTTTTAATGTACAGTTTGTTTTTATTTCCCCCTCCCCCTTACACTGCTGTAAATGATTGTGGTTTGAAATTGTATCATTATTACTGTATTTTTGCTGCAAAGAATCAGAGTATGTTTTGATGTGAATCTGTGATGTATGTTATGAAAGAGAGGGATTTGAGTGTACTTCACACATTGCTGTTTTCTAGCTGCTGCTACACAGTCGAATAACTTACTGTTGGCACTGCAGTATTACGTTGAGTATATTTTTGAATTGTTCATTTGGCATTTTTGTATTATTTTTGGGACATTTGAATGAATCTACACCAATTTAGACTTTAACAGTAGACTATAGCACATTTCATCTTGGATCCAATTGCAAATGGATGATTTTATTTTGATATTGTTCCTCATCTTTCTTGTAGAAAGCGTCCCTTGGTTTATCCAAGTTAACTTATTTCTTAGTATTATGTCACCTCTGATTGTGTGCATCTTGACAAGCAGTCAAATGGTTTATTACCCTATGACACTGAATTTCTTTTTTTACTATAGCATACTGTTAACTGACTGTATTTGAACTTATTTACATAGATGTGATTTGTAGGCGATGGTCTGTTGGATGAGGAAGAACAGGGTGAATGTAAGTGAATAGAAATGTGGCGTAGTGAGGAGCCAGTGATTAATGTTAGCGCTGTAACAAGTTAATATAGGCCACTGCACTGGCTAGAATGAGTTCTGTGTTTGGGGACTGTCACCAGAGACTAAGTCTAAATTAGTCACTTTACCCTTTTGGCAGGTTCTTTCAGACATTATTCACAGCTGTCTGATATTTAAGATATTTAATTTAAGTGCCCTTACTCAGTTCAATGATTTTCAGTCCTCTCCGTGGCAGATGCCCCTCTCTTCTGTGGTGCGTCTTTCTGAGTTCTACCTCACACATGCACACACTCTCAAATACACGTTACAGTATGTATCTCATGGCACACATCATTCGAAAGAAATGCGAAAAAAAGATCCTTTTTTTTTCACTATTTGTGTTATTTATTTATTTATTTCAAGCTAAGGAGGCGTCTATTGTATGTAATGTACATTTCATTCAGAAGTACTATTTATATGCATTTTGTTTCCTTTTTTGTTTTTCTGTGCAATATAATTCATAGATTAGTATAGTGATTGATCTGTACATTTTACCGTAGATGTATGTATGTTTTCTGAGAGTCAGGAAACAGGCATTTGCTACCTGCCATGATAACCTTTGGATGTATTTGATGGCTCAAATTCCCAACCTGTCATTTTGCCCGTTTCATGGTTGGGCACTCCAGGCAGTGACCCCTAGCATCAGCTCCCAGAATGCACTTTGGGGATTGTGACGCATGTCCTGACCCTTTCTGGGCCACATTTCAACTGTGGCTTCCTCTTTTTTGTGGTTTTCCTCTCCTCCATCTCCTCAAAAATAGAAAAGATAGAATAGACTACGCATGAGTTTTCTCTGAGCAAATCTGGTTTTAGTGCAGGTACATTTAGAGGAAAGAAAGGAAAGCCATTCAGCACTACTGGGGTGATGCTGCAGTCTTCTGATGGTTTGGCCAAACACTGACAGCAAAGAGTTAACCTGTTGTGGTGTGTCTTGGTAAGGCCAGTTGTGTGAATTTTAGCCTTTGGATATGAAATTGCCTCACTAACAAACTAATTATATACATCAGAAATGGAAACTGTCTACCTTCAACTCCAACAAATAAAAGAGTTGAATTTTAATGTCTCACATTGTTTTTTTGACTGTCAAGTTTACGTTTCTTTCAAGAATATGAATTACAAGGGGAAATGAACAAGGTGTGTATGGGAAGACTGTACCTCATAAATAAGGCTTTTTCTGCATTTTAGTCAATAAATAATCATCTACATTGCCTATGGTGTATAATAGGTCATAAGGACCATAAGTTATAAGGAATTTTGTGGAATGGTAAAATAAGAGGTGCTTGGTCCAGAGGAGTTCTCATTTGGCACCGGCACTGGTCAGTGTAGGCACAGGACGGCTGTACTAAAGAGGACACGATGGCAAGTAGTACTGCACTAGAGGTATTTGGTCTTCAAAGCTTTGGGGCTGGCTGGTCTTCCCAGTAATTAAGCTCCTCCTCTGATGGACCAGATGAAGGCAGGTTGGTTTGATCTAGTTGGTCCGTGTTGCCCCTGTGGTCAGATCCCCAAGAGTTTTGAAGAACTCCTCCATCTCTTGCTGGAGGAGAATGTTTCGGTTCTCTGCGTCCTGATGTGCCCGCTCCGAGTTCCTGAGTCGGATCTCTAGCATGTGAAACTTCTTCTTTTCCTGGTCCAGCTCCTCCTCGAGGCGGTTTACCTGGGATTGGTACTTGGAGCAGGACTCCTCCAACCTCAAAAAAGAGAGAAAGAGCTTATAAATAACACATCATGCTGATTGGTTGTTTGACAGAAAATTATAAGTGACTCTTACTTGCGAATGCAGGTTTCATAGCTCGTCCTCTGTTTCTTCAGCTCCTGCTTGAGCTCGGTCAGCATGTTGGTGAGACCTTCATTTGTTCCTGCAAGATCGTCCTCAGTGCCGCTTGCGCTGTGGTCTGGAGTATTTGTACTGTCCCTCACCTCTGTGGGTCTCTCTTGACCCTGCCCTAATTTCACTGCCTTATCACTTCTTTCTGGCTCGGCCAACGAGATCTCAAAGGACGTCCAGATAGAGGAGGTGTCCGCAGGCAGACTTAGACTGGATGGGGCAACATTGTCATAGGCGGACAGTCTGTGGGATTGGTGGAGGGCCCTGTGAGACAGGGATGTTTGAGGGGAGTCTTCATCAGAGTCTCTCTGCGAGTCCTTAAGTGAAAGAGTGGTCTCTTTAAGGGAGAGGGTGGAATCCTTCAGAGACAGTGTCGAGTCTTTAAGTCTTTCACCTGATGAAGTGGTGCGCCTGTGAGCTCGGAGGGACGACAGGCCATTCATCAGCCAGTTGCTCCCACCAGCTGCTGACACATCTCCTGCTGACCCCCCTATTTTCCCCCTTGGCCCCCCAGATGCTGCATTACCCTTGAAGGAGCACCTCCAGGAGGGCAGGGCTTTAGACTGTTTACTGGGGCTAACAGCTACTTCACTTCCACTTTTCCCTTCCGTTTTGCTATCTGATCTTCCATCCACTTTCTCCTCTGCTTTACTTTTGCCCTTCACTTCAATCTGATCATCCTCACACTTCTCCGACGTTGTAATGGGGCTTGGTGCAGTTGGCTTGCTGTCCGTAGAAGGGGTAGAAGATTGGAGTTTTTCTTTAGGGGTTTTGGAGCCTGTGCCTGAGGAGGGTGGGGGGTCAGTGTCTTCTTGTGAGAGCCACTGCACTTTGGACCGTTGTAGATTACTCTGCTGTTGCTGTGGGGGGATCTTGCTCTCGGTTTCCGGCTCCTCCAATTGGTAAAGTCTGACGTGTTCACTGATCAGCACAGTCATCAGGTGCTGCACCTGTGAACTTCCTGTTTATAATGACAAAGACACATACACATAAGTAATACAGCTGCTTGAAATGTTTAATGACATTGTACATATTTATTGAAATTTATAAATATGATGACATTATCACGAACCCTCCATCATGGTAACTGGATCCTCCACTCTGGGACGAAGGATATTGGGTCCAAACACGGTGGCCAAATTCTGAACACTCATCTTATTCTCATTGGAGTGAGATTGAACTTCATCCAGAAACCTGAGCAGACACAACAACAAGCAGAACTTATTTCCAAATATGTAAAATCATCAGTAGTGACGGCTCTGAAACCCCCCTTGTTCTTCAGTAAATCAGTAAAATTCAAACTTATGAAAAAGGAGGACTGAGTCATGATTCTGGCTGCTGTGTGGGCTCAGCTGATGATCTTTTTATAGATGCAGAAGGCAGGGAGAGAAGATGTGAAATTATACACACTCAGAGTCAACCAATGTTATGTCACTTCCCCTGATGACGAGGGTGTGGGTGTAATGAATGTTATTTCTCTTGCATGACAGGGTGTCAAATCCTCAATCATCAAACAGTGAATGGGAAATGGCAGCAATAAAACCAATCAGTCACATCAGTGAGCTTAACAACTGCTGATAAACAGACGACAAGACTCTTTACTTACTTGCAGATGTATTTAAGGAGGTTGTAGTTGACCTGAGGAAGGGATTTCACCTGTTTGCCCAGCTCTAAGATACCCTTAATTAAAAAAAGGACATGCTTATTGCCAATGCAAGAGTTTGGAAATATACAAGTAAAATGTTAAAGAGAAGTGGAATTACCATAGCTTTATCCTTGGTAAGAAGCTGAGCACAAGAGAGAAACTGTGTGTATTTGGAGAATGGAATTATAGGCTCTGGCAGCTCCCGTATGTACAGCTTTAGCAGTGATGCCACCGTGTGGACATCTGTGGTACTGTAAGAGAGTAGACATAAAGAATACTATCCAGCATAGATTATAGCTTGGCATGCTGCTATAGATAAAATGCCTCTTCCCAGCATGTCACCTGTCAAACACTGGCTTCTCGCCACGGTCAAACGCATCTTGCAGCTCTCTAACATGATTGGTCTGTCCGGGGGCCCTGAAGAGGCCCTCCTCCTTGAGCCCGTGTTCACGTATAAAGCACACACACTGTTCAACCAGCACAGGGACCAGTCGTTGAGGGCCACATTGGGCCTCGTACAACATTGTCTCCTCTAGGTGCTGCCCAAAGACACCTGCAGCCACATGACACAGAAAATCAACACTAATCAGGTCATTAACAGCTCATAAGAAATTCTCCTCTTTGAAACATTAATCATTTATTTGCTTAATTACAGCAAACAGTGCTTTATGTACATTTGTGTGTATGTGTATGTATATGTTTAAGAATCGCACCTCCTCCGAGTGGAGCCCATATGACTCTACGTATGGCTCTGACCCATTCCTCCATGTCACTCTGAGAGTTGGCCATCAGCAGGAATGATTCGTGGCTTATACCTGTTCGGTCCTTTTCTCCAGCCCCCCCTGAAAACACATTCATATTCCATTACTTTCTGGATCGATAGGACAAAATGACTGACACATCTCCAAAACCACTGTACTTGCAGAATCATACACCAGAACCAATACAGCTTTTGCAGATGACTTTGCTTTTCACATTAACATCATCATCTGTAAACAAGTGGGTTCTACCGACTACAAACATCAGTATTTTCAATAACCTTATTACCTCAAGAACCCCTGTAAAGTACAAAGACACAGCCATGCAGCTCCCCCTGTCCTTCCTCTGGCTGGACCCAGCTTGATATCACTGGGTTTGACATTTTAGTTTGACATTTTAGTTTATTTCTGTTTACCTTTGATTACACTATGTGAAATTCCTTCCCTTTATGTGACTTATGTGTGACGCTTGCTTTTTGAAGAGGTAGAAGAAGCACTACTCAATTACAGATGGAGATAAAGGCATCAAAACTGATCTTAAAAATAAAATGTTCTTACATTTTGTACTGATGAAAACCTTCTTACAAAACCAATGCAAAAGACAGAGATGCATATGCCTTGCTGTGTAAGCTATATAGCAGTACCTGCATTCATTACTAAATCCTGCATTGTGGTGCATAGTGTGTTGTGTGTGAGAGAAATGACCCAGAAAGTGTAGTGTTCCCTATGGACACCAGCAACTGCACCATGCCTCTCACTCAGTCTCTTTTTGTCCGGGACCTTTCCCTCTGCGTCTTTTCACTAACAAACTTTCTCCACAAAGTGACACTAGACACCATCTCGCAAGTTACAAGACCACACTGGTGTATTTGCATGTTTTACCCCATTGACTGCAAATAACAAATAGTTTGCAAACACATCATTAAGTTTTAAGTGTTTTTTTCTGAATTAGTAGGCAGTCATTGGTCTCCATTAATTTGTATGGAAATTGGCTTATAGCCCTCAATGTCTTCCATAGTAACTGAGTTAAAACAAGTGTTAACACTAGCGTGGTCCTTTGTGTGCACAAACACAGAAACACAATACAATTTAAAAACATAACTACAACTACAAGACTACAAGAGTCTAATACAGTATGTGACCTCACCTGCTAATGATGCTGTGTGATCCATTTACCAAAATGCAGCCCTGCAGTAGCTGTTAAATGTGCTGACATTCATGTAAGTTTGGAGTCCACTCAATAATCAGGACTACACTAGATGGGACAGGCATCTCATAAAAGGCCCTGCATGCAGAATTCTGTATGTCCATATTAAACATACAAAGGAAATCACCAACCAATGCATGCAGAGCTGTTACCCATTGATTATAAAAAAAAGAAAGCAAACATAGCTGCACAATATGTGAATGCAGGTCACAAACTGAGGGACGTACTGAATGTGACAAATCAATATCTTGTTGTATATATGGAACACACACACACACACAATCCAATACATCCTCCTCTTTGAATACCAAAGCTAAGAAAAATGTACTTACTACCATCATTAATGGAAACCCCATCCTCAGGATAAAGTGTCAGGGTGTTAGTCAACCTGCTGCAGTAATGGCCCATGTTGAACTTGTAGCACCAGTGGGAAAAAGGGGCTACGACTGAGCAGCGACAGCCCTTAAGAAGAATGGATGCTTGCAGGTGAATCTACGCTGATATAACCAAAGATACCATTCTACGAGAGGCACTGCCATCACACCCAGTAACTACTTACAGGGTTATATCTTTTAATGCTTGACTTCATGTCTATCTAAGCAAACCTTGCAACTTCTTTTCTTTCTTTCTTCTTTCTTTCTTTCTTTCTAATACAAAACCTAAACCTCCTCCTCTTTCTTTCTTTCTTTCTTTCTTTCTTTCTTTCTTTCTCTGTCTCTCTCTGATCTTTCTGATCTATGTGCGGCACATACTGTCCACTATGCTGACTGTAATCATGCCAACCCCACGCTGTCAAGACAAGAAATGAATGAAGTCCTTGTTTAATGCTTACACACATGGCTGTGGCAGTCACATCCCATCTGCTGGTCCGCATTTTTCATGCATGTGTTATAGTCTGTGACTCATATGAAGATATTATTTACTTCTGTTTTTTGTAGTATAGTATATTTTGAAAGTGTGTGCCCTTTTCCAAATAGTTTGACGATGACTTCCCAGATGGTTCTGTGTAACAAACCATCAGGCACAGTCAGGTTAGGAAATTATATCCTATCCTATATCTCAGTGGTTTTTCTGTTTGGCACTCAGCACTAAAGAGATGGTTCAGCATATCCCTTGAACAAGACTTACTCACATACTCTACATACTATCTGAGGTTGTCACCATGCCAACTCACCTGGAACAATTTCAAAAAGGTGGCGACCGGACTCGTCCTGATTGGCAGGCAGCTCATTGACCTGACTGCCCTGAAGAGGAATACAACCCTGCAGGAGAAAGCAGAGAAAGGCATGAGACCGACAGATAGAAAGACAGACAGGCAATACCCATATCACTGGTATTAAGGGGCCAAACAACAAATCAATTAGTATTTCTGGACTTGGACGTGTAGTGAATTTAAAACATTATAGAGTTCTGAGTACAGCGGGCTCTGGGCTTTCATCCAACAGAAGGAGGTAATGATGATGGAGGGAGGGATGACTCAGGGAAACATCTCTTCATCTCTTTATCCCTCTCGCTCTTCCTGATGTACTTGCATTTCTGATCCATCCAGCATAGAGAAGGTCAAAGGTCACATACTAAGTGCTTACAGCAGAACCACAGGGCAGCTAGTTACCACATTATCGGTGTGTGTGTCAGGGCAATAACAACACACTGCAGCTGTAATGAAGAGTGTGGGGATGTCTTAATGTCTTAATGATCCGCTATGTCGGCTATGTCGAAATATCCAGCTATAGTTTGACACCAGTAATATAAAGATGAGAGTGTGTAGCTTTAAAAATCATGGTCACATAATGCAGAAAAGAGCTACATTTTACTTGAAAAAGATTACTTAAAAGAGTAAGCACACAAGCGTCACACATAAGCCATCTTCAGAGTTGGAGTACACAATGGATCGACCGACCCTGAGGAAATTCTATCCATCTATCTAGGCTTCAAACCAGTATTAATCCAAATATATGTGACTCTTGTATATGTATATATATATACACGTTATTTTGTGAGTGTCACCTGGGCCTTGGTTTCATCCTGGTCCTTGTAGAAATACAGAGCTTCAGTCCTCAGGACAAACCAACGCAGCTGCCAGTTTTTCATGATACTCCGCTGTCTCTTCAGCCAGCCTGCCTTCAGTGCTTTCTCCTGATCCAGAGGAGAGCAGGGCCTGGAGACCCGAGACAACTCTCCAAGCACCATGCTCTTAGACCGTGCTGCATGGACACACACATAGAGATAAAGTGAGCTTGCAGGATTAAGAGCATCAGAATAATGAGTGAGACAGAGAGAAGAAGAAATAGAGGGTTACATAAAGACAGAGGATACATGTTATTTCAGGATTTTATTTCTTTGTTGTTCTGCTATTATTCTAAAGATTCACCCAGAGACGATTCTGAACCCTTATTCGTTGAAGTCTCCTTTGGGCACAGCTAAGCCCACAGGCTTGACCATGCATCCGGATTTCCTCTTGAGTCGACCTACCAAGGCATGGCCTCCATTTTGCTGCAAAGACTTCTTGCTTTTAAGATGAAACCCACCTATGTATTCCATTAGATTTTATTATGTGGTTCAGATATTAATGAGGGCATGTATTACTTTGAGTTTCACTGATGTACAGAGAGGAGTTTTGCTTTGGATCAGGTTGTGCTTTAACTGCTGCAGACTGATTATAAGCATGGATTATATATTAGCATAGGTATGCCGAAGATATAGAGCAAAAACAGTGACAGTAGAGTGATCCCTAGGGAGTCAGGGGGAGAGAGAGAGAAGGAAAGAGATAAACATAAGGCAGGGGGAGAGGAGAGAGAAATCAATGGCGTCTTTTTTCCTGTTAATTGCATCTTGCTTTCTGCTGAGGACAGCAGGGGAGGTATCTGCAAGGGCCTGGACAGAAATCTCTCTCCTGTTTCCTCTCTCTCCCTCTTGCTTATCAGCTCTCTGTCTGGACATTTTATTTCTCCTCTTTCTGGATGTCCTTCATTTGCAGAGTCATGATTGCTGGGAAGGGATAAGACTAGAGATGAGACCACGTGAAGCAGTCATTAACAAAACTGTACGCTGACAGCAGAAGCCAGCAGAGCAGGATCTATAAATACAGCGGACGGAGCCACGTCTTGTACATTTTTGAAAAAAAGAGGCAGGAAATCTCTGAGAGGAACTGTTTTTTAATCCACTGTCAGCAAAGAGCTATGATTGGACAAGGATCAAATTCTTATCTTTTCAGGAATAGTATTACTCAAGGTGTATTGCCTCATATCATATAAAATAATATGCACAATCAAAGTACAAGTACAGAGCTTCAAATTTGTACTTAAGTACAATACTGAAGTAAATGTATTGCAATGTAATGTATTGTATTAGTAGTAATTGTGAGTATTTTCATAAATTAATTCATGGCCTCACAACTCCACAACTCTGTAACCACTGTCTCTGCTTCTTCATTTCTCACTCACACATCTCTGAGATGTCCTGTGTTGTTTCTTTCCGTCTTAGAACTGATGGGCTTAAAGGTTTTAGCCAGTTCCTTGTTGCTTCATGGCTGCGGTTTTAAGTATTCTATATAGGTACTGGTCATTTCCCCATGTCAGCTCTAGTGTTGGTTTTCCTTGAATAATGTCTATTGAGTTGTTAAAAATACCCATAATATCCATTATGACCGGCTGTCAGAATGATTTTAAAACTTTTGCCTTTGCCTCACCACATTCTCTCCAGCAGTCCGCTCTCATCAATGTATTAATTTTAGAAAGTACATTTGGAGTCATAAAAAATCATGTATATAATCACCATTCAAATTCCCTCCCATATTTAGAATTTATTGTTTTATGAATATCTCTGCACACGTTTTGTACAATGTTAATCTGTAAAGTAATCATAGCTGTCAAATTTAATGGAGTACAAAGTATTTATTCCCTCTGAAATTAATGTCAAGCAGCACCCGATGGAAATACTCTAATACAGTAAAAGCACCTCAAAAATGGTACATTACGAGTACCCTACTTGAATTAATATACTTCGGTACATTGGTACTGATAATAACTTCTGGATGTTCACTCCTGCTACTTACTACACACCAGGAATTAAATAATTCAACTAATATTGGAATAATTAATGTATTAGATTGTTATAATTTATTAGATATTAACAAATGTCAACTACACACAAATTAATGGTATTTTCTTTTACATATAAATGAGCCCATGATAATGTGATGATTATAATTAACATGGTATAGTATCAACTGTAACTTCACTTTGGACAGGGCCTCTTTAATGAAAATCTGGTCTCAAAAGGATCATATCTTGTTGACTTAAGCCCTTCATTATTCTTTCACATGTCCTTATAATGACAATTATTCAGCCACACAGATAATGGAGAGAAGCCTAAAACCCCAATATCGTCTTTCCGTAAGACTCAACACTTCTTAACTGCTTTTAGTATTCTGGCCTTATATAAGCTTTTGAGTGCAGATCCAGCTCTGTGGTGCTGTATGAGTTCGCCCTGAATGATGCTGCATTAAAGGGTCAGAGGAGAGCAGAGCTGGGAATCTAATCAAAGGAGAATACCATTACAGCAAATGAGAGATGGCAAGCGCACAAAAAACGTGGCAAGCAAACCGACGTGGCTGCTTCACTCTCCAACTGTGTTCGTGAAGGAGAAAGGAGAGGCACTCTTCCTTCCCATCATCTTTTATGGTCTTACTTTTTTTTTTACGGCAGTTTTCAAGTAAGACAATGACTGCCAGGGGAGAAATGAGGCATAAACATATACACACACACAAGTAAGGGGTCTTAAAGCCGCTGTGCAAACACTTTTCTCTGTTATGATCATTTTCATATAAAAACCCAATATTAATTCAAGAAGATTGGGAATTGTCACAGACTTATATCTCCCCTCTCTAAAAAACAATGTTAGTGCATTTCCTTGAGATAAGCTGGCAACTGTCACAACTCCCCTAGCCACCTAAAACAGTGTGTGTCGGTTGTCTATAGCAACCACCTGCTATGAAGAGCAGTGTCTTTGCATCGTGATAATCTCTGTGCCAGGATTTGTTGCTGTGATTTACAGCTTCCTTATTCATCTTCACACAGTCATGTGAGAGGCATGTATATTGGGCGTTCCAACTTCAGCGGTCACAAGTGGATTTCACCCCGTGTTAGAGGAACTATGTTTGACAGTCAGCTGTTGTGATTTACAGGAGGAGAGAGCCTCACGTTCCTTTCACCGCCTCTGATCTGTCTGTCACCTGCTCAAAATCATGCCAACCAAAATCCAACCCAATAAACCCTGAATAAACAGAGGTGTAGTCATGTGCTCAGGTGTGAACATGTCAGGATGCAGACCGTTGTTGGAGGGAGGATTATCCTTCCAGCAGCCATGTTTACTACAACCCACAGTATCCCCATCAGGATCAAATCTTCGAGGAATGAGGACAGTATAATCAAGACACATGAGGGATTACATCACCGTAGTAGAGCCTGTTAACTCTCAATGAGCACTGGACACAGAAGATAAAAGCCTCAGCACTTCACATCATGCAAGAAAACTCAGGTCATTGCTGATAACAATAGTCACTGGGATGCAGAATGACACCGGTGTGCAGATTTGTTGCTAACCTAGCACTGTTACACCTTTCTGATGTCATTATCAATGAAAGAACTGATAACAGTATAGATGTTACATTATTACAAAGACAGCAGGACAGATGGAGCTCTGCAGAGACAGCGAGAGAGGGAATAAAGAGATGGGCTGCAGAGGTGACAGAAAGAAGCATTAAAAGAGAGAAAAGAGACGGAGCGTAGAGGAGGGATGGAGAAAGAGGAGGAGGGACTGAGCTTACCCCGGCGTGCCTGTTTTATCTTGGGGCTCAGCATGGTTACCGTTGCTGTGCTGCTCCCTCTCACAGAGACATGACTGCATCCCTCAGTTCACACACTATTCCTCAAACACACACACACACACACACACACTCAGCGCCTCTCGCTGCTGCCTCGCCCTGTTACTCCTCATCCTCTCTGAGCATCTCTCTCTCTCTCTCTCCTTACCCGGCTCACTGTCTTGCACTTGGACACTGTCTCTGTCTGATTTCACACACTCACGCACACCCACACAGACACACGCTTACGAGCACCTATCCACACACTCTCCTCTTCCTCCCCTCCTTCCTTTCGTCTCACTCCCCCCTGTCTGTCCCGTTGGTCCGGCGTGCTGTTGTTCTCACATACCTCGAGCCCTGCCCACTCTCTCTCTCTCCTTTGCTCTCTGTCTCTCTGCCTTCTGCTGCACACTCTCAGTATCAATTTCTCACCGTCTATAAATATGTCTGGCTGTGTGTCCTCTGTCTTGTCACCCATTTCTTTACATCGGCTCCCCCATCGCTGCACAGTCTTCACAATCCCTCCAGTTGTTTGCTCATGCAGATTTGATTATGGTCTCCTCTGTACCTGAAGTACAACCTCAGATCAATATATTTGATTTAACTGACACCATTGTTACCATCTAATGTTTGATGCAGAGTGGCTAAGTGATTATAAACCGTTGCAGATGTATGAAAAATGTGGGTGGATGCGTATAAAACTGACAAAACTCCACAGTAAGACACTCATATTTAGTACTTGTTGACTTGACTTGTTAAGACTAGGCTAAGATTTATGGTTTTAGGGGAAATGCCACACGCCTCAGTCACTCAGCAATCTGTACAGTGAAAGCCACAGCACTCAAGGGTGTGATGTTCTTGTTCCTATTCTTCCTGCTGGTGTTGTAGTGGATGTGATAAAGCAGATAAATGCTCCAGTTCAAGAGGCTGGATGAGACTAAAACACAGTACAGAGACACTGCTAGAAGGGAGAGCTGTCTAAGCTTTCTCTTAAGAGGAAAATCAGCTCACACAGTCAATCAATAAAAAAAATGGTAACATACATTGCCTTGATAAAGGAGTTAAAAAGGTCCATAACAGTTACATAACTTCTGTAAATTCTGTAAAAACTTTGAGCTCATACCCTCATACATACAGTTAGATATGACTGGTATGGAGCCAGACAAACATCTTAAAATTAGAGCCTAACTTTATATGAGAACTAAAAGAAAGAGAACAGAAAGTTAAGCAACAAAATAGATCATCACCTTGCTTGGCACTATGATCATTTTTAAACAAACTTTTAAAAAAAAGAGCTTTACCTGCCAGTTCCTTCAGTTTTATACTGCTCAGAGGAGTCCTGGATGGTTTCATGGCATCTACACAGTGTATCCTTCTCCACTGGGACCATTTCTAGAGCCAGGCAGACACACATAGGCACACTTAGGGTCTCAACAATGGTTGTACTCAAATCTCAGTCTTCTACTTAATTGCTAATCACCAAGAAACAAATCAAATGACATCCACATACCCAAAGAGAAGGGACTACTATAGCTGCCATCATTTACACACCAATGACGTGCGCCTGAAGAATGCTGACGTGAACAGACTCTGATAGAAGGAAGGAAATAAAGACAGTCATGCGAGTATTACTTGCCATGTCATCTCGGATGGGCAGACCAGACGACTCTTAGTCTGGAGACAGATTCTCTCTCACAAGAAAGACTCACATAGTCAAGAGCAGCTGCTGTGATAGGTACAGCTTTACAAAGAAACAAAACATAGCTGTGCCATTCTCTAATCCTCTTCTTTTTCAGTCCGTCTCACACTAAAGGAAGTCAGCTGCCTTAATGGAGAAGTGAAAATTGCTGACTTTTTTGTAAAAATATTATTAGTTTCTCCTGCAGATTACTGTATACTTTCCTTGCTTACAACAGAGTAAAATGCAATGTCCTGGCTGTTAGAGATTTGCCTATGTAAATTGAGGAGGAAGGTCACAAGCTTTGAATCTGAAAAGCTCTGTTTCTCTCTGGTTACACAGTGAAATAAGAGAAAGTTTTTTTTTTATAAATGGCAGATTTCAGTGATTTATTAAACATATTTTTCTTAAAACATAAAAACATGACAGTATCATCTTGGAAATAAAAAGAAATTGTGTCACCACAGATAAAATACATTAGTACATGTAAAATATATTAGGGTATGGACATATGGAAGCCAGTTAAATACAATAACACTGATTCAGGGACAGAAATACAGTAAAAGCACTCAGTTTCACAGGCTCACATGCGCTCATCTTAACCAATATGCACGACAGGCAGCACAGTAGACACTAAATAATATCACGTGACGTAGCCACTCACATAGTCCGGACACACCAGCCTCTGAGGGGTGTGGGGAACATCATCTATAATCTAGAAATATGGTCCTCGGGGACACATAGGAAATGAGTGTGTTTAATTGAAGGCATGAAAAGAGCATGTCTCATTAGTAAGAGCCAGAGGAAGTGTCATGGCCCAAATGGCTATGAGCAGGTCAGAGAGGTAATGACATTATGGTAGGAACAAAGCCTTTCAATGCACCCGCTATTAACCATTATCACTAGCTAATCACAGGACGTGCTAATGTTATGTTATGAGTACACACATCTTTGTAACCTTGAACTATGCTTTACACCATGACACACTAGTATTTAAAATAACAACGATGTTAAAAAAACTATGCTGATGTGGAATATAAAAACAGGTGTGAATGTGAGCATTTATTCAGAGGTGTTTCCCTGCTAAAACACAGTTTAGGAAATATCCACTTTGCACAAAACTATGCTAAGTTAAGTAACAAATATTCAGTGAGGTCTCTAAAAACTAGGGGAACATTTAAACTCTTAGTGGTAGTTATCCTGCTAGCCACTTTGTGCACAAAATCTGCTGATGAATCTACTCTATAGTCTAGCTGCATATTAAAATAGATTATTGACATATAACCGAACTTTACATTCAAGTACAACATGTTATATGGCATTAGAGAGTTACTGACTTCAAAGAGGACATTCTCACAAAGTTGAGTGCACACCAAAGACTCTGTAAACTGAGAATGTACGTTTGTAAGTGAGCCACTATGAAACAATTTTCTAGACAACAAGACAGACGGACAGTTTTAAATGTCTATGGCAGTTTTGTCTTCTCCGGTTGGTCCGCTGCCCACCCGCCTTCGACCGTCCAGCAGGAACGACAGCACTATGACCCAGCGCTGCACCAGTGACCTCTGTCGTGCTGAGCTTTCGCACTGTCTAAAGTAGGTGGTGGTTCCCGTGGCGACGGCATCGAATTGCTCGGTCAGTAGCCACACCTCCCAAAGGAGCGTCAGCGCGTTCATGACTATCATGACCACAACCCAGAACTCCTCCCCCAACAAAGTGAGCCACAATGAAAAGCTGTGACTCCCCGCAGGCATCTTGTCATACAGGTAACTCGTTGCTGTGGCAACGAAAAGCAGGTGGGCAATCACCATGGAGAGGATGAAGAGGAGGAAGAGGCGGTGGTTACCCCGGCCGACACAGCGGTTGAGAAAAAGGCAGTGATGGTCGTAGTCTTTAATGCACACGTCACACAGCTTGCAGTGTTTGGTGTAGTCTGGAGGAAACAACTATAAGGGAAACAAAGACAAACTGTGACTGTCCTTTAACTTTTTCAAAAGCATAATCTAGGTTTTTTTTTTCTACCTTTCAGACATCTATTGCTTTTGATAACTGCTTTTTAATTCCACAAAGGGATGAAATTTAACAACTTAACAGAGACTATAAATATTTCATTACATTTACTGTCACATCATTGACTCATTGTGTCATAGATTTTAACAGGGGCGTGTCAAGAACTAAAGGGGAGAGGTAGGGAGAGGTGTGTATGCATTTCTAGATCTAGACAAAAAGACTGATAAGTTGACAGTTAGAATATGGCGGCTGTGGCTCAGAAGTAGAGAGGGTCGTCCGCTAATCGGAAGGTTGTTCCCCGGCTCCTCAGCGCTGTATGTTGTAGTATGTGTGAATGTGAATGAATGAGTAAGTTTCTGTCTCAACTTTGCCATCACTGAGTGAATGTGTGTGAAAGGGTGAATGTGACATGTAGTGTAAAAGCGCTTTGAGTGATCAGAAGACTAGAAAGGCTATACAAGTACAGTCCATTTACCATAAATAGATGATGGGTATACAAAAAAACATTTTGTATCACTATATTTAGTAATATTGTATTTATTCTCATTATCAGTTTTTGTGTTTAAGCCCCAACCAAAAATAGCAGTGTTAAACTGAGGGCATTTTATGCATATGGTGCTGTGTTTATACTATAACTAGATTTCTTTTTAAATCGCCTAGCGTACAGTACCCAAATATCGCAATATATTGAATTGTAACCCCTGTATTGTGATATGTATCTTATCCCCAGGTTGTTGCCAATGCACAGCCCTACTTACTAAACTAGATAACAAAGGAAGATATGCGTGCAAAAACACCATGGCTCTCTGAATCACGACCAATGTGAATTTCTTACCTCACAGTATGGACAGAACCTGTGAGGGCTCTGGTTGTTCTCCACCAGGTCGGCGATACAGGAGAACCGAGGATCTGCATCTGCTCTGTCCAGTGTCCCCGGGTCCTGAGTCAGAACCTTACAGAACAAACCGAGGACTAGGGAGAAGTGGATCATTGACACCTGGACCAGAGCACCGGTTGGCCACACACATTCAAAAGGTTAAGGATAAACACAAGAATATACAGGTTACGTTTGGAGAATACTGGCCAGTTGACAATGTTTATAAGAAAGCTTGTTGAGTGCTCAAAATGCAAAGTATTCATTCTCTGGGGAGCATGAATGTGGTTTCTAAATTTCACTGCATTACGTCTATTACATTTTGATATTCACTGAATACAAGTGGAATATTTAGCTTGATGGTGTCACTGGAGGAAAGGTTAGAGGATAACAAAACAATCATCCTCTGGGGTCCATGACTATTCACAAGTAAGTACTATCACTTTTACAATACCTATCGTCATAGATCAAAATGTTGTTGATTGTCAGTATCAAATTTTGGGCTTAATGTTGTGCTACATTTGTTAAGGATATTAGGCATTATTTTTCCATAGAAGCAGAGCAGGGAATGGAACAGACCAGCTATAAGGGTTCCCAAGTAGACTGGGTTGGGTAACCTGGAAGGAAGACAGATAGTGTCTCAACAGAAATATAGCAAACAGTAAAATATGTTCTAATAAACATGTTCTGCAGCGTTTGTCAAACCGTTGGTACGTGGTCATGCGGTGGTACTGTGTGAAGATGCTTCTGGCCAGCCAAGGGAAGAGCAAACTGCAGGTTAGCCCTCCATAGCCTCCCAACATGGCTGCTATTAGCAGGATGGAAGCTCCACTCAGGCTTGGAAAAAACAGTGTCCAGTAGTACAAAACTGGTAAGAAAAGACACAATACAAACACACACATGCAGCACTTTAAATGTTACTTTGTCTTTATTATCATAATCATCAGCCTTGTTTTAATCACTGAAGGAACCTACAGAGTAATATTTACCATGAGACTCTGTGGGCTTGTGGTGTATTGGCTCATTAATGTACCGACTCAGTAGCTTGGTGAGTTGCTGATGTCTGGAGAAAAATACACAGTATAGCAAAGTATTAATCAGCATCAGGATCCCAAGAGAAAAAAGCTATCTGGAAATGCGAACATACTGGATATATAAGGTACTGTGGAGGTGGGGGGTGGGAGGGGTGTTACTATACCATGCCGTGGCCTGATAGTCAGTGTTTTTCCAGAGATTTCTAGAGACAGCACAATCACCTAAATGTTTTCCCCTGCTTGCTGAGGTCCAGTGGTGTGAGGCCGCTGTGGTTCTTCTGAGAGAGCATCCTGCAGCCTGTTCTCTGCAGCAGTGTCCAGCACACCTCCACTCCGCCCCTCTCTGCTGCAACGTGAAGCGCTGTCGCTCCCTGCTGGTCAACTGCGTCCACAGCACATCTCTGAAACACAAACAGAGGGTTGAGGTGCACAGCTGCTAAAAGATAATCACATCATGCATTTGGCCCTGTTTCACAAAAGCATCTTTGTCACATTCCCCAAGTATATGGACTAAGATTATCCTTGGCCATGGGCACATTATGTGGATTGAGACCATTGGGGGGCAGAAAGAAAATCATATACTCATGTACCTTCAGCAATAGTATTGTTTTTTACTAGCTGTTTATGTCAGGTTGTAGCTATTATGTCTGGGTTTTGTACAGGTATTCTCAATTTACATTATGATTTTATTTGCTGAAAATGGCTACCTATAGTTGTACGTGAAGGGTTAATGAGAGGGACACTTAACTATACTGTAAATGCATTGGCTTGCAAACCGAAACAATGAGCTAAAAGTGGCTAAAAGCAGCTAAACGTTGTTGCATGTTAATTCTTACTTGTTATTTGACTCAATGTTACCCTCAAAAAGATTTGAATGGCTCTGTGAGAGAAAGTTTTATCTTACTCTTGGTCATCTAGAGCATGTGAGTGAGCAAGAGAATGAAGCCTAAGTCATACCTGTTCTCTGAGCAAATACCGGACCACCTCTGTGTTGCCTGTGGACGCGGCCAGGTGAAGGGGGGTCACCTGGTACATGTCTGTGTCTGAGAACCGGAACATTCCCGTCTCCCACAAATAGTGCACTGCAACACTGGGAGACACATCTAACCGTTAGTGCCATGCAAACACAAGACAAAAACATCAAACATTACAATGTGTTGTGTCCTTCACTCACATGTTGCCCCCAGTGACTGCATGATGCAGTGACGTTTTTCCCTGCAGGTCTATGAGCCGCAAATCAGCTCCATACTGCATCATTTGGTGTATTATATAGATGTTCCCTTGCCTGATGGGAGTTAAAAGTACAAACTGTTATTACAAAGGTTTAGGTTCAGAACAAAAGGGTAATCACCATCACATCAGGACATTGTCACCTTGAGAATCCAGGCATAAATATGCAACCACTGCTCACCTGCAGCCAAAATGAAAGGCTGTCTGTCCCGCGTCACATGTCAGGTTAGGGTCAGCTCCATTACTAAGGAAAAGGTCGACCAGGGCGCGGTTACCATGGAGGGCAGCGTAGTGGAGCGGGGTGAAACCACCCCAGCCTGGATGAAGACAAACACATCATAGTCGGGTTATGAAGCTGCAGTCTCTGCGACTAACAATATAAGCCTGACGTAAATGCACGCTCTGTCAACCTGTTGATCTTTAAAACCCTCTGGAGTTGAGGAGGTAAGGGTTCCTTTTGGCACAATGTGACTTTGTGCCGTATTGTCACAGGATCTGTCCATCTAGATCTGTGCCAGCCTATCTCACAGAGGAGAAGCAGCAGGGTTACATTTCCCCCACTGGCATTGTGACAAAATCACATCACAGGACACACTGTTGCAAGATGAAGTTTAAAACTGTCCTTTGAAAAATCACATAATGTAAAATTCTTCTTCTTCAATGCTGTATTATTTACACTTCATAACTTAATCTGGCTGATACAGATTTCAAAATGTGCATTACAAACATAAGACATATGTATAACATGATTGTTCTGTTGGTGTTTATTAGCAGGTTTCTGGCTACATAATCAGGAAACACCATCACTGTCAGTTAAAGGCTTAAAAACTATGTGTAAGCTTACAGGAGCGCGCAGGAAGTAGTGGCCTGTAGTTTCCCACATATGCTGCAAATTAAACCACCGACCAGGTTAAAAGTGACTATTTTTATTATTAGTATTATTCTATCTCATTCTTACCTTTCTGCTTGAGGACTGACCGATCATCTTGAAGGAAGTGTATACACTGTTCAATGTTTCCTCTCTGTATACAGTCAAATATGTCTCCGCAGCTAACGGAGCACACGGGCATCGGATGCATGGTGATGGGCGCGCGGTGGCGGCCTGCTCTTATTCCCACCGACAGAATAAAAAACTGCAACGGAGACAAAATCAGCTCCCCGGACGAAGCGCTACAACATCATAATGTAAACCGAGACGGGAGATCATCTTTCGCTGCTACAAAGTAACGGGGA